AAATTGTTCTTAAATACGTGATGAGTGACAAAAGTTTAATTCAATTTCCACAATTAATATTCCAGGCTTTGAATGATGACTTTTGTGTTCCAACAAAATCAAAACACGCTAAAGTTGGTGTCTTTTACACCAGTTTTGAAAGTGCTCAAAGGCCGTCAGAACATCTTCGCAAGTTTTCGTGAAGGTCCACAAGGCTCCCGAAAATGTACAGAAAACCTCGGGAGTTCACTGGGACGGTCATGCTTGTGGAAAGGCAAAAATCTGACACATTTGACCAGAAAAAGTTGGCAGGCATAGAATGAATTGTGTCTTACCAGGAAAAAAAGCCGGCTACCTCTTAGAAAAGAGATACTATTATTGCCAACTTAATTTTGCGAAATTACTATGTTTGGCTATCTGTTTCCATGGACTGAATAGATGCATCTTAAGGTCCCTACAATGTCAGTAGGGGATTAAACTTCATCTGTCTCCCTCTCTTTACATATTTTGTCATAACTGCCATTTAAATAATTGCCGATGGTTTCCTGGTAATTTTCTATGCTAATTTGCATTCTATGACATGTTTTGAACCTTACTTGATTGTATGTTTAATTTTTTAAAAAATATTTCTTTTGAAAGAGGTTTAAAATGCTCTCGACTACATATACTCTACATGCAGCCTAAAAAATTAATGTTAAAAAGCTATTTTGTTTTGTTTTTTTCTTTCACCCAAAAAGTTATGGTAATCTTCCAAACTTTGTTACGTCCATTTTGAAATCACTGGTAATCCCTGCAATCTGATAGCCTCTAAACCGTTATCTGTATAAAGGACCTCATTCATGCTCTTAATTGTATCATTTCTGTTCTGGGTACAAAATGAAATGTGGTGGCCTTTTTGTTATTGCTTTTCATCAAACCAGCTTCTAGATCAAATAAATATTGCCACTGGCTAAATTCTGTGATTTCAAAATGGCTGTAATAAAGTGACAATTCTAGTAGTCTTCTTGCATCATGGTCTGAAATCGTAATATTGTGAATAGACCTTTTTACCGATATTGTTGCCATATTGAATTGAAACCCAGGGGGCATTCGCTCAGTATTTATGCATGATTTTCGGGCAAAGAGAAACATCAAAACATGGTACAGCCATCTTTATCTTTTTTCCCTTTAAGAAAAATTGGGCCAAGAAGTGGGTGTAAATAATGAGTGAGTATATCCAATAATACTCATGCTGCTTGATTAATATGGCTGCCATATTGGTGCAAAAGGTCTGTTCAGACACCATCACATTACTGTGCATCAGCTTTTTTCTTTTTTTCCCTTCTGTCTTTCCTGCTTCTTGGATCTTTCCTCTTCTTTCTTTTTTCTCGATGGCTGTCTTCTTCTGAAAAAGAACAGTCCACAGTATTTTTCCATTAATGGTAACTGTTCCACATATATACCTGAGTACTACTTTCTCAACTTTTTTATGTTTTTCATGTTTTAAATCTTAGACGGAATATGTAAACTTGTTACAAGAAGATGATATACACACATTCCTGACATGGTAAAAATGGAGCTAACAGAACTCTAAGTTGATCCTTACACTAACTCAAAAGTTAAATTAATTCTTCCACTGTAATTTAACCCTTTTTAATTCAAGCCCCCTAGAACTCATGCTCTTTCGAAATAATTTGTGTTTCATTTGTCTATGTATTATTAACTTATCTCATTTAAATAACAGTTAATGGCCTTTTCACAACAATAGCATGGTGAAAACTTTTCCTTACCTTCTGCATGAGGGGGGAGAGTCAATGATGTTGGGGTTGTTGATGGGGTGGCCGCGGTTTTGATATTCATGCTGGGAGGGGCAGTGGATGTTGTGATGGTGGATGACAATGTGATGGATGAGGTAACAACTGATGCTGCAGTGGATGATGTGGTATTTGTTGATTTTGTGGTTGATGAGATGGTTTTTGTTGATGTCGTGGAGGTGGTAATGTGTGTTGTAGTGGTTGTTTTGACCTTTGGTGAAGTCAGGCATGCTGCTGGTGGTTTGCTCGTTGGACTTGCACCTATAACATAATGAAAGGTAGAAGATATCAGAAGAAAGTATTTTTAAAATATTTATTTCAAGTCAAAAATTATGGTCGGGTTGACATTTTTAACGGTGGTTGATTCTAGGTCTTTGCGTTCAAGTCCTAATTCATTTACAAGTTTCTCTTTTGTTTTGGGGTATGGTAATATATTCTAATAACGTTGTAACAAAGAAGAAATGAAATTTATTAGAGATAAAAAAATTAACTACACTACATCATGTCTATGTTATATACATGTATGTTGCAGTTAATTCCCTTGTATAACAGGGAGGGTGGTAAGTTCATGAAACAATAGTATTAAAAATGATAGAAATATAATTTTTATTATTTCAAAAAGACACCTGTAATATTTAACCCTTTTTGATTCAAGCTGTCTAGAACTCATGCTCTTTCAAAGTAGTTTGTGTTTCATTTGTCTATGTATTATTAACTTATCTCCATTTAAATAATAGTTAATGGCCTTTTAAACAACAATAGCATGGTGAAAACGTTTTCCTTACCTTCTGCATGAAGCGGGAGAGTCAACGATGTTGGGGTTGTTGATGGGGTGGCCGAGGTGTCAGTGGTTTTGATATTCGTACTGGGAGGGGTAGTGGCTGATGTGATGGCAGATGACAATGTGGTGGATGATTTAACAACTGATGCTGCAGTGGATGATGTGGTATTTCTTGATTTCGTGGCTGATGAAATGGTTTTTGTGGATGTCGTGGAGGTGGTAATGTGTGTTGTAGTAGTTGTTTGGAGCTTTGGTGACATCAAGCATGCTGCTGGTGGTTTGCTGGTTGGACTTGCATCTATAACATAATGAAAGAGAGAAGATATCAGAAGATAGTATTTTAAAAATATTTATTACATGTCAAAATTTCATGTCAAATCAAATCATCATGTCTATGTTATATACATTAATGTTGTAGTTGATTCCCTTGTAGAACAGGGAAGGTGGTAAATTTCATCATAGTTCATGAAACAATAAAATTAAAAAATGATAGAATATAATTTTTCTTGTTTCAAAAAGAGATCTGTAGACTTAAAACAAAGGATAGAGGGAAATTGTGGTATTGACAAGAGTGTTTGTGGAAAATAATTATTTTCTGTCATTGCCTCTTGTTCATGTAATAATTACAATTTTCATTTACAGGTCTGTCGATGGTGCAAGAAGTGATCTGTATTATTGTGAACTTAATAGCCAGGCACGTTTTGGTAGTTATACTTCATTTCCATGTACCCTGATAAATACATTGAATTGATTACCCTGAACTGTCTTGGAGAGGTCCTCTTCTGAAGTTCCACAAGGAATGTTCCCTCTGAATTGAACCTGCAAAAAAGAGCAAAACAGAAGGGAGGAATGCTGTCCAGATTATGGCCACCCTGCCAACCCAAAGAGGGCAGTCTGTTTGTTCAACATTGAACTGGACCAGAAGACTGATTAAGCATTAGTTGGTGAGTAGTGAGCTTCACTGTTAGTGTCAACTGGACAAATTCATGTTGATTGTGAACTGTCCAACTCAGGCAGATAGGGGTGGAAATGCCCATTGAATTTGGAATCTACGGTGTATTAAAGAGTACTTTACAGGCTCTTAATTATCTAAAATTATTTTGTTATTTTTGAGAAGAGGGTGTTTAGATTGTGTTTGTTTGGTAAATAGACATAAGACTTTGTATGCAATGATAGTTCATAACTGAGTCAGTTTATATAGAATAATATATAATTTATTGAGAAGTATCTAGCTTCTTGTTGATTTTTTTTGGTTTGTTTATTTCTCTGTTATGTATCATAACTACTAAATTTATATCATTTTATTTTTCTATCAAATAAACTTTTACTAGTATATAATACTAATTTCTTCCTTTTAATTATGACTGTTATACATGTACTTTTATTTTTAGCCTTGTTTATGAAGTACACATTCAAATTAAAGAGGTTTAAGGTATACATTAAGCTAGTTCCTTTAGTGTCTAAAGTTATCATTCAGTGTTGAGGATACCCTTTATCTGTAACCTGACTGCAGTTAACCCATTCACCCTGTCAGCTGACATATCAACCTCATCCCCAACCTGGACCAATAACCTTTAGCCTCCTCTCCTAGCTACATGTTGTTTCGATCTCGACCATGTGAAAAATTCTATTACTTAATATTAAGTCTTCTATATTTACATCTGGAGGTTCATTGTTCTTCTTTCTTTGATGGTGCCTTCTTGTTACCTCTTGTTAGTTGGTAGTTTGTATCCCCACCATGCTCTTTGGCTCTGAGAGAAGTCATCGTGTATCAACCATGCCTTAACCATTGAACATTCCTTTGCAACTTTCCAGGTGTATTCCATTGTTTCTCATTATTTTCGTCTTGACTGTGTTCATCTTTGGTTGTACTCTTGTCGCTTGTTTGCAATTCCCAGTGGTTATGACTTTGCGTGACTTTTTTTTTTTTAAGTAGCACAGTGTTATCTACTGTAATAATTTATTCGGTGTATTTTCATAAATTGCATTTTTATATCAAGTTCACAATTATTTAGTGGTTATTGAATGTTGATTTATTGTTAACTTGCGTTTTGGATTTGGTATTTGATAACTTCCTACATCAACTACTCATTTTAGAATTATTACATCGATGTACGGTATTTGCTTGAGGGCATTCAGTTAACTTAATATTAAGAGTATGCTTATGCATTATTATCGTTCCCTGCCGGCATTATTTACGAATGTTTAACCCATTTACCTAATTATTATACCTTTTTGGTAAGATATCCTTTCCCTTATAAAGATGTATTGTACATAAATATTTTTTTATGACAAGTAATAATAGCTTGGAAAGTCATCTAGTCAAAGGTCATACTGGGTAGTCAGTGTTGTTGTAAATGCAGTCTTTGATTAATTTAGTATTTTGTGTTACATGTTATGTTATGTTCCCAAGAGCCTGGTGGCAAAGATCCTCGCTCACGTAGAGCATGGACACAGAGGACCTGGCTCCATTAAGAACCCAGTCTGCGAGGGTTATGTTCCCAAGAACCTGGTGGCAAAGATCCTCGCTCACGTAGAGCATGGACACAGAGGACCTGGCTCGATTAAGAACCCAGTCTGCGAGAGTTATGTTCCCAAGAACCTGGTGGCAAAGATCCTCGCTCACGTAGAGCATGGACACAGAGGACCTGGCTCGATTAAGAACCCAGTCTGCGAGGGTTATGTTCCCAAGAACCTGGTGGCAAAGATCCTCGCTCACGTAGAGCATGGACACAGAGGACCTGGCTCGATTAAGAACTCTAAGGTTAGATGTCCAGAAATTCACGGGGTTAATAGGTGTAGGTTTCTGTTTAAAATAGGAATAAATAGAAATAAACGTTACAACTAAAATAGTTTCTTTTTCATTTTCAATTTACAAAGTGCTGACATTTTAGTGTCATCTCAAACATCAGTTTCCTTGGGTTAGATATAGTAACCTTCTGCTGTTTCCCTTAGTAAGCTTCTTTTACATATCTGATTCTAGATAGCTTATTAGATATTATTGTTATGGTACATTTGCATGTGCCAACATCTGTTTGCATTCCCCCTTTACCTCAAATGACCCAAGTAGTCTAACCATGTCTGCTTCATCCTGTGTGATAAAGTAGAAATCTTCTTTCAGCAAAGGTTTTTACTATCAAAACTCAAGCAACTTTATCCAGATAAGATAAATGATAATGTACCATACTTACACGTTCCACAAAACTCAAAACTTCATGGCCCTTTAGTCGCTCCTTGTGACTTATACATGTAGGTCTGGACTCTTTATGTAACGTAAAAAAGAGAGGCATCTCATCAGCCCCCCCTGCCCAGTCATATACTTCCTGTAAAATAAAACAAAAACCGCAGTGACTTAAAGAAATATTCATTTAGGCTTTGGAGGTAGTTCACTGCTATTTCAATAACATGACCACACTCATCAGGCAATGTTTTAATAGTTATTGATCCTCTTAAGTTGTGCACCCTTAGAAATTGTTCTTGGCAATTTACCCAATCATGTTATAGTTTAGGATAATAGATAAATAAGGATATTTGTGCCGATGTTACCTTCTTATCATGAATTAATATTATCTATAATATCATTTCCTTTATTTATTACTTTCTTATCTGTCTTTCTTTGCCAATGCTACTTTATTTAGCTTTGGCTAAATACAAGTGAAGTTATTAGGGAAATGCATGGCCCTTTCAGTATCCTGTTACTGATATGATGCTTCGGGTGCTCTCAGTGACTAATAATTTATTAAAACGCTACATCAATTTCAAAACCTAAAGAAAATACTGTCTTTTACTCGAGATGTTGCCTATTGAAAAGTATAACAATATTGTGAAAATGAAATGATCAGCATGTTGAGAGCGTGTGGCAAAGAAAAATCTGAGTCCCTTTTAGGATTCGAACCTATGATCTCCCAAACACAGGGCAGGCGCTCTACCCACTTGATCTACAGAAAACTCTTTTTACAATATTATTGCTTCGGTACCTGATAGAAGGCAGTTTCACTAAATTTGCGGGACATTAATGGGCGGCCCTGAACCAAGTCGCACACTATCACTTTGTAGCCTTCTTTGGGCGGGCGAGTTATCCTCTGGCGTCTCATCTGCCTTACCTTGTTAAGAAAAAATAAACAAAGCAAAACAACATTCAGCCTATTTTATTTTGCTTTAAAATCAAAACGGTTTTGTATGGACTTAAAAGTTAAATTATCAACAGTTATCCCGATGTGAAATAAACAATGTATCAGTGAGCAGTACAATTAATTTGGAAGTGAGTACATGTCTACTGATGTACTGTTAAACCTCCCTCACCTGTTGGGCTTGAATAGAGCTGGAAATTGCCCGTTTTTTCCTGCAATGAAAAGGTCACATTCAGCCAAATATCAGATATAGTAACTGTTTTTGGCTTTCAGTTTATTGATGAGCTTAAAAGACAGCAGAGTGACTAAGGGCTTTCCTTCAACGATGTACACAATTGTTAAGGGTGCTTCTGGACCAGCTTGCTTGCCAAATTTTTTATTTCTTGAGAATATCAGTGTTTGGCATAACCTGGTCTTTTTTGTTAGGAAATGGAATTAGGCAATCTAGAGAATGTTCCAGATTATGTCAAAGGTCATGTTTGGAGATTTCTAACTTCAGGATTGTTATGTGATATTTAATTACTTGGTTTATTGACAGTGCTAAGATCAGGGGTAACTGATAAAGGTGTAGTCTTAAATTTAAAAAAAATTAATAAACAACTGAACCTTCAAAATCAGCTATTTCATGCCTCTAAGGATTGCTTTTCCATAACTTACAGCTAAATCTCAAAATTGACTTTACCTGTTTTTTTTTTTTTTTTTTTTTTCATAGCCTCCTTCAATTTAATGTGTAACTTTTGCATCATATTAGGTATGTTACCTCTGTTGTTGGTGAACAGCTGCCCTTTCTAAAACTTTTTTCAAAACGGAGCCCACTTCATCAATGTCTGCATCTAAATAGGGTAAGGGTACAGAAAAGAAAATGATTGCTTTCATTTAATTCTACCTTCTCCTTCTTTGCTTGCAATAATTGTCTTATAAAACTTGAACCTTCCAGTTGATATAATCATAGTTTGATCCTTGTTCAGGTTAGCTGTTTGTGGTACTCATGAGATCTAATCCTTCAGCTGTATCTCTGTATGTAAAAGCTATTGAAAAATCCTTGCTTTCCAGTTTGAGGCTCCATGTATTGGGGTTTTGAGTTAATTCAAGAATTAAAGGACATATGGCAATCTTTTCTCACCATAACTGTAACATTACTCATTAATAAGCCTTGAGCACGTGCTGTTGTATTACAGGCATATCGTTCTAACACACACACACGATCGTGACAGCTTTGATCCCGTTTGAAAGTGGTTTAAAAATTTATTGTTATTGACATTGACCACGACGATTCTTGCTCCTCTAAAATTACCTGAAATCTGTCCCAACAACGAAGGACTTCTACCCACTGACGGGACCAGGAAAAGTATCCTTTCTGTGCGTGGGTCACCACCATAAATGTCCATAACTAACAAGGATAAATAATTTACAAGTAAACGTCTTGTCAATAATTTCTGATTAAGTCATTAATCCAGTTGCCTGTTATTTAAACAAAGAGATGTTTGTGATTCGATAAGTGTTACCTTATAGTTCCACATGGCCTAATGACTCCCTAGCAAAAATCTATTAATATTATAGTCTACTACACCTGTACGCAGGTGTGTGCACTGTTCTTTCAAAAGAGGTTTTATATATATAGCTGTCATGGCGGCTGGACCGACCTGGGCGAGCTCGCTACAATTTCTAGTACTCCTGCTTGGAACAGCAGTTTTAATCCAAGAGAGTATAAGTGGCGACGTTTTAGGGTCTTACCAGGCTACAAGCGTCTCAAAGACGTTTATTGCACCTGAATTCGTCTCATATTTGACAAGCCACAGAAGATTTAAACCTCGTGCTAAACGATTTACTTCACGGAGGGTCCCACACACGGTCAAAGGAATAAGCAGCTTCAATCTGGAAAGGGATGTGCTTCTGTGCGGGGACGTGGCCATAAATCCTGGCCCGAAAGGGAAGAAGTCTATGTTGAAATACCCATGCAGTGAATGCCACAAAGCAGTTAGAAACAACCAAAACGCCATCTTGTGTGCCACATGTGGAAACTGGTCACACGCTAAATGCCTCAATATGTCTCGGACTATTTTCCAGTACTACTTAGACCAGCCTGATATTGATTGGACCTGTCCAGCTTGTGCTCTACCGCCACTAACGGACTCCTTCTTTGAAGAAGTTTCTGAAGGTGATACACTAATTCCAGCCGAGGAGTATCAAGCGGAAACAACTCTAAATACGGCCTTCGAGCAGTTTCTTTACAGAGATGTCACAGAAATTACTTCTGAAAACGATCAGCTAGAACTCTTTAGGAAACATCACAATAAGGATTTCTTAATTGCCCACTTGAACATTAACAGCATCCAAAATAAATTTGAAGAACTGACCGAAGTAATCAAGAAAATCAACGCCCACATAATGTTCGTAAGTGAGACCAAGATCGACGCGAGCTATCCCAACGCTCAGTTCAAAGTTCCGAACTACTCCCTCTACCGAAATGATAGGAAAAAGGGCGGCGGTGGAATTATGGCTTTAATATCTCAATCGCTAGTCAGGACACAGCTTAAACCTGATAAATCCTTTAAGACACTGGAAATAATTGCCTTCGAAATCAAAACAGATATGGACAATATGGTAATTGTTGGTATTTATCGTCCCCCGAGAGCTCTGTGTGGCGAATATCAAACACTGTTGGAAAGCGAACTCAGTTATGTCTGTAACTGGGCAAGCTTGAACGGAAATTTTGTTGTAGTTACTGGCGACCTAAATCTGAACAGACTTCGCCCTGACAAACCTGAAGGTAAACTGCTTCTCGATTTGGAAGTTGAACAAGGTTTTGAATGTCTAATTACTAAGCCAACAAGAATAGAAAAGCGTGGAATAATTATAACAGAGAGTTTAATAGATGTTTTGCTCACTAATAGACCGGATAGCTTCCAGCTATCTGGTAATTACCATCCTTGCTTAAGTGATCACGACCTTGTTTACGGTGTCCTGAAGCAGAAAATAAATCACAACAAACCAAAGGTCATCACATTTAGGAGCTATAAGAACTTTGACCCTGAACATTATAAACAGCTTTTGTCCTCTGCCCCATGGCACGTTGGACAATTGTTTGATGACGTCGACGATCAAGTTTACGTGTGGAATGCACTTATGAACAATATACTGGACGAAGTGGCACCTGTGAAAAAAAATGCGTGTGCGTGATAAAGATGTGCCCTACATGACGTCTCATTGGAAAAGTGCGATTAGAGCTAAACGCAAAGCAAATGACAAGTACTTGAAAGACAAAACGCCAGAAAATTGGGAATTACGACGTAAAGCCAGAAACGAGGCCACTAAACAAAGAAGAATCGCCATCAAACAGTACTGGTATAATAAGTCAAACGATTTGAAAATCAATCCCAAGGCGTTCTTCAAAACTTTCAAGCCATTTTTGGGCTCTAAGAGCTGTACTGAAAGAAACGACATCCACTTAAAAATAAACGGCAGTATGATAACGAATCAACAACAAGTGGCTGAGGAATTGGTTGAGCATTTTGCTACCTTGGCGGATGGCATTGGCGGTACAGCGATTGAAAGAAAGTCAATAGAGGACTTTAGAGACCATCCTTGTGTTCAGAGGATACAACATGAAAATAGGAATTCC